CCTCTGAAAATCCGTTGGAGGGTCAGTTATGGGTTGGTTCTGACTCGAAGATACTCAACAAAAACCACCTTATCCACAAGGGGATTGGCTGGTCTTGCCGCTAAGTTGAACAGATACAGTGACAGATTTTGAAAATCTCCCATCAGCAAAGAAGAAGCAGGCACGCAGTGCATACTCTTTAGGGTCATAGAGCCTTTCCCTGTTAGACTTACAAGAGAATGGAACTGGCCACAGCAGAGAACCAGGCCTGACATACGACAGAGCTGACCTTGGGACTGCCACCCCATGGAACAGGGCGAGGAAACTTTGCTCAAATTTGTTGGACTGTGGGGGAGAACCATAATTGGCGGGACTGACAGCTTTGTAACACTGGCCTAAAGCCACCAGGCTGGAGTCTGAGGTGCTTGTGAACATTTCAGAATGAATGACCATATCTTGCTACCAACATGAATTAGATCTTTTTTATTTCCCTAGTATGGTTCTATGTGGCCTGTGACCTATTGCAATGTATTTTGGACCTAGTAGAGCAATAGAAGTGGTAGAATCATGCACACACACACACACACACACACATGACACATGCATACACGCACATGTGTTATGTGCCATCAAGTCACTTGCAACTCATAGTGACCCTATGTACAATCTCCCTGAATCCTGCCCTATCCTGAGCCAACATTATCGTCTCTGACATACCTACCTCCATTACCCCAGTTACTGAGTCAATTCATCTCTTCGAGGGTCTTTCCCTCCTGCGCTGTCCCTCCACCCTCCCTAGCATGATTTTCCTCTCCAAGGACCAGTCCCTCCTTGTGACATGCCCAAAGTATGTCAGATGAAGCCCCAGAATCCTTGCCTCCAAGGAGTAGCCCGAGTTCACCCTCTCCAGGATGAACCAGTTCATTCTCCTGGCAGTCCATGATGTACTCAATACTATTCTCCAGCACCACAGCTCAAAGGCATCTCTTTCTATCATCCGTAGTCACTGTTCAGTTTATAGACATGCACGTAGAGGCCTCAGAATTACTCCTGCCTTCTCCTTCCCATCTCAGCCTGGATCTGCACCAGGACCACTCACTCATTCTTGCTAGGGAGGCCCTGGAGTCCAGGTTCCTTAGAACCATAACTAGCTCTTGGGATGTAGAGAAGACAATATGAAGCTGGCTGCCTTCCTGAGGAGTCTGTTCTAGGGCTCTGTGGTGTGGTGAGGAAGACTGGGGTGTATGTGAGGATTCTGTTCATGGATATCAGGGTCCTCCCATTCCAGGCTTAGCACAATATGTCAACTGGAAATAGCCTCCCATGCCTCCCGACCCAGCACCCTCAGGCCTACACACAGCTCCTATTTACATCTTGACCCCACAGCATGAACTTTGACCTTGCTGGGGATGGACATAGACAGAGGGTGAAGCAAATGGTGTAGGGAAGGGACCCAGTTACCTGGTGGGGGGCGGGGTGGCCAAGTGATTTTCAGTTGAAAGAAAGGGGAGCTCTCTAGACAAAGAAGTAGTCCACACTGCTGTGGGCTTTCTCCCTCTCTCACTTCTACTGAGTCAGAGCTGATTCATAACCGACCCTCCAGAGCGATTTCAGAGGCTGCAAGCCGCACTGAAGATGATTTGCGTGTCTTTCTCCTGAGGAGCTCCTGGTGCATTTGAACTGCCAGAGCGTCGTTTTCCTTGGGGTTTGTGCGGCAGTTCCTTATGGACCAGGCCCCCAGAGTTCCCTGCTGTGGGCTAAGAGAGGGCAGAGGAAAGATCCAGGAAGAGGCACAGACAGATGAGATCTCATCTCAGATGAGGGCACTGGTCGTTGTTGTCATTGTTAGGTGCCCTTGAGTTGAGTAAGACTCACAGCAACCCTATAAACACTCGATCTGAACCTGTCCGATCCTGTGCCACTCTCGCAATCTCTAACACACTCGAGCCCATTGCAGCATTCACTGTCTGGTTGAAGGTCTTCCTCTCCTTCTCCATCCCTCCACCTTTCCAAGAAATAACGTCTCTTAGCAACATATCCAAAGTATGAGAGACGAAGTTTTGTTATCTTTGCCTCCCAAAATCATTCTGGCTGCACTCTTTCCAGGATAAAACTGATTGTTCTCTGTCTCTGGAAGGCTCTTGAAAGCTGTGAAGAGCTTTCCTGGAGAGACAGGAGAATAGAGGTAGAGATGTCCACAGCAATGGCAGATTTCTGCAGCTGTGTGGACTGGAGGGAGGGGAGTGGGTACAAGGCAATAACCTCAACCACAGCATGGAAGAGGGTGGTAACTGAGGCAGACAAGGGGTGAGGGATCCATGACCAGGACCTGGGACTGCAGTGGGGACAATCTTTGGTATGTGCCATCAAGCTGACAGTAACTCAGAGCGACCCTGTGGCTCTGAACCTTGCTCTTTCCTGAGCTAACCTCACCGCCTCCAGCACATCTGACCCCACTGCTACAGTCACTGCATCAATCCATTTCATCCAGGGCCTTCCTCTCCCTCACTACCGTTCCAAGCATGATGTCCTCCAAGGACTGGCCTCTCTTGACAGCATGCAGCTTCCAGTAAAGGATGGAAGCTCAGACTGAGACTGTGATAGGCCTGGGTGCTTGGATTCCTGAGGCCTGCGCTCTGTGTCATGTGCCCTCTGCCTAGAAACCCAGCAAGCCCTTAGTGGGACCCAGAGCAAGCGCTGCAGGCATCACCTGCCCCCCAGCGCCTCTGAGGCCCTGCTGCCCTAAGTCTGGCCTTGCCAAGATTCCCTAGGTACCAGGCTGACTTTTCCCCAGAGGCCTTGGTGGTTCCCACCGCTGTCCTGAGAGTCGTTTCCAGGCGCGTCGCCTGGAGCCCCAGCGGTCGCTAGGCTGCAGGCTGGGGCTTCCAGACATGCCAGAGGCAATAGCAGTGCAGATGGCGGCTGAGTCCGGACGCCCGTGGGCCCAGGCACGCAGCGCATATGGCGCTAGCGAAGCTCTGAGGCGCGGCGCTGGCCGCCGGCGGGAACCGGGGCCACAGACTAACGGGCCAGGCTCGGAGGAGGCGCGAGGTCCAGGCAGGCTGGTCCGCCTGCGGGTCCACCTCCGGGCTGAGGCGGCCGCACGTGCCGAGGGGCCGCGGCTGCTGCGGGTGGTGGAGCGCGCAGGGGCAGCGCCGAGGCCCGAGGAGCCAGCGCACGCGCGCAGCAGCGGCTCGGTGTGCTCTGTGTGTGGGGAGCCGCGCGGCGGGGCCACATACCCGGCGGACGTCCTGGAGGTGAGCGAGCAGCGGCTTCAGGAGGGCCTGGCGGCGGTGCGCGCCGAGCTGAGCGCGGGGCTCGAGGCGCTGCGCGCAGAGCTGCGTGCCGAGCTAGAAGCTTTGCGCGCTCTGCTGCCTCCACCGGCCGCGCGCCGAGAGTCCCGGCCCGCGCCCCGCGTGCTGCCCCGCGGCCAGGCTCTGCTGCGAGCGCTCGGAACCGTCAACGCGCTGGCTCTGCCTTCTGCCCCGAGGTCCAGCGACGACGCCCCGGACAGCGCCACCGACGCTGGAGTGGCCCGTGGCCCGGCTCGGAAACCCTTCAAGAAGACGCCAGTGCCGCCCACAGGCCCGCAGGTCGGCGAGGACTGACCAGGGCAGGAGACGAGGTGCGTGAGGCGCTGCCTGGAAAGGACTTGGGTGCCTCGGGAGAGGAATGGCGCCCTTTAGGAGCTTGGCTAGAAATGATAGGGTCACCAGGTGCCCCTTGTGGGTATTCAGGTATTGAGGGTGAGTGACCGAGACAGGCAGAGCCGGAAGCTTGCACAGGGTCACATATGAGTGCGGTGACTTTGCGCAGAAAGGACTGGCCAAGGAGCCTGAATCCAGGCTGGGGGCGGTGTGTGTGTGTGTGTGTGTGTGTGTGTGTGTGTGTGGTCCTGCCTTCCTGCCTGGGAAAGAGTATGGCGTGGAGAGAACCAAACATCCTCAGACCAGTACGTCAGGGCAGTGTCTTGCAAATTCCTTTTTAAAAAAATGGGGTTTCGAGAGGAAGTAAGGCTTTTATGGCCTGGAAGAGATTTGCCCATGTCCCAAGAACAGATGCAAGAGATGCTGTCACCTGGCTACAGTTCACCTGGAACAGTGTCACCCGTCACATTCCACACGGTGGCAACGACACACGTGTGGATTCGGGCAGCCAGTCCCACCTCCTGCTGACCAGACCCATGCAGGTTTTGGAAATGTCACTTGACATTGAATTGGCCCCTGGACTCTCATCTTTTGAAAAATAGCACCAAGGACTCAGCGTTCCCACAGGCTGGACCCGACTCTCCAAAATGCCTGGCTCCTGCTTAGAGTCTGCCCAGTTTTGGAGTGTCCACTATGGACACACCTCAGTCTGCTATTGTCTGGGCCTTCTGACACAGGGCAGCCAGCTTCGGAGCCAGCTCCACACCTCCTTGGCCTGGGAAAGGCCAGCTCTGTTAGGTACCATCCAATTGGGACCAATTCATAGCTGATCCTCCAGCAGGTTTTCAGAGGCAGTAAACCGCATAGGAGGAGACAGCCCATCTTTCTCCCATGGTGCAGCTGGCAGATTCGAACTGGGTGTCTTTGAGTTGACAGTTCAATTCCTTACTACCTAAGCCACCAAAGCTCCCTAGCCATCATCTACCCGCATCCTCCTGGACCCTTTATCAGCTCTCCCCTTCACAAATAAAATGCGTATGTGTGAACATTCGCTGAAAACACAATACAATATAATGAAACGTTTAAAATGTAAAACTAATTGTGGCATTTATAAGGCGCACCAGCTTTTCTTCTGTTTATTCGAGGGCAGCTTCTCCTTCAGAGGGCTTTGGAGAGGGGGGGGGCCTGTTCTTCAGGGTTGACTGTGGTGGGGGACGGGGAGGGTGACCAGGGGTCTCCGTGCTGTGTGCATGGGCGTGCGGAGAATGTGAGAATCAAGCGCGTCGTGGAGGACGTAGTGCACGTGGACCACTCTCTGCCACTGGCCACCGAGGTCAGTGTGCCCTGTTGGTGGCAGGAGTGGAGGGCCTGGGTCTACAAGCCTCTAAAGAGCCGCTGGCTGAGCTCCAAGCCCAGCAAAGCCTCGAGCAGGCAAGCTGGGCCAGGGCGAGGGGCCACCGCCCGAACCGAGGCGCCGGGAGAGGCCGCCACCCTGCGCCCCTCCAGTGGCTGCTGCGGACGGAAGTTGTCAACGAGTAACCGGGTGCGGGAGCCCGGGGACCCGGCCTGGAGCGCCGTCTGGAACTGCGCCACCTGCGGGCGGGCGGGACAAAAACGAGTCATTGCACTTAGAAGTGCGCAAACGCGAGACCCCGGCTGCAGCGCCGCCTGGAACAGCGCCGCTTGGCGGTGGGAAAAAAGTGAGTCATAGCGACGGCAAAGGGAAGAGGTGCGTGAGTTCGAGTGGGTTCTGGAGCGGGGTCTGCAAGTGCATTCAGGAGCCCGGGGAGCAGGCCGGCCGAGAGCAACATCTGGAACCGCGCCACCTGCACGCAAGTCACGATGAGTCACGAGTCGCGGGAGCGCAAGGCTCACCTGCGTGCGCCCGAGGCACACAGGGTCTTCGAAGACGGTCCAGAGCACTGAGGGCTCGCAGCCGGGAGTGGTCAGCGACCCCGAGTAGCGGTAGTAGCGCGAGAGGCTGGTGGCACCCGGCAACACAGAAGCCAGAGGAAAAGTGGACGCCAGCTTCGCCGAAAGCCCTGGGCCAGGTGGCGGGAAAATTGGAGCTGGCCTGCCGGAAGGGGGCCCACCTGCCCCACCCGCCCAGGGGGCGCCTCTGATGCGGGACACTGTCCGGTACTCTCACCACGTCGGGACACATTCTTCAGCCCAGACACGAGGACGGAGAAGTTGGCATTGTTAGCTTCCTGCTCCTGGGGGTGGGGGTGGGTGGTGGGTAGCGGCCCCAAGTGAGAGGGGCTTTGTGCGTGGCATTGCCAAAAGGGGGAAGTCTGGAGAGTAGAGGGAGATCTGGAGGGTGTATGGGGCCACCCAGGCTGACCCTGCAGATTCACAGCCGCCCGCTAGCACAGGGATCCATCCAATTCTTGCAATCCTGCACACCCATGTCCTCCCCCACAGGCCCCCGCGCCCCTCTAGGCTTTGTCTGGGAACCCCTTCCCTCACTGCCAACAGCACGGCTAGCACGGCGAGCCCGTCAGGGTGACCCAGCGCCTCCTGCATGGTCCTGTAGCGCGTGTTTACGTGGAGCACATGCATCTGCGGGGGTATGGGCGTCAGGAGGACAGGGGCTGTCGCGTCCGCACTTCCACCCCTGCGCCCCTGCCCCTGTGCCCGCACCCCACCATCGCGTTCGCACTCCTGCCCCTGTGCCCGCACCCTGGGTCCCACCTCCATGGGGCGGCGCTGTCCGTCCAGACTGTGCTCTGAGCCAGCGTGGGCCGGCGCACCCCAGTGGAAATGCAGTTGCAGCGCGCGGTAGCCTGGAGGTGGCAGCCCTGCCCCGCGCATCTCCAGTCTGCTCTGAGTGTTCGAGTCCACGTGCAGGAGCACTGAGGACGAGGGAATGCGTGACACACTGCTCTCTTGCTACCCACCCTCAATCAGGGACCAGGAGTCGGAGCAGAGGTCCTCCAGCTCTGGAGGGTCTGCTCTCTCAAGGGCCTAATCTCCTTGGAAAGACACTCTTAAGGGGCATGCCCACGAGGCTGGGAAGCTCACAGGGGTCGGGAGCCCCCCCAAAGGGTTTGGAACTACCACACAAATGAGATCTCCCTACATGAATGGACAGGACCACCAAGTCTCTGTGCTGGTCAGTCCACCAGCTCAACAGCCTGCAGGGGAGCTCCCACTCTATTCAACAAGCTTCAGGGGGAGCCCTCTACTCTAACAGACTTGGGGGGGAAGCCCCACTCTGCTCAATAGCCTGCATAGGAACCCTCGCTCTGCAGGTCCAGGGGGAGCCCCTACTCTACTCAAAAGACTGCAGGCGAGGCCCCACGCTGCAGGCTCGGAGAAGGCCACCTTTAGGTTTGCTTAAGGATGGGGACTGTGTCCAGTACTGTGGTGGATTCTGTCTTCCTGTTTTGTCTTGGCTCCTCCTGAGGGGTGTGTGTGTGTGTGTGTTGACTTTTGCACCTGCAACTTCTGTTTGTGGAACTTCTGTTTCATGTGGGGAGTTCTCACTCATCTGTCAGTTCCAAACCCTTTGTGGGGGCCCTTGACGTACATCTCTAAGGGCTCCCAACCCCTGTGAGCTTCCCAGCCTCGTGGGCAGGGGGTCTTGTCCCTGCATGTGAGGGGAAAACCGAGTTGCTGTGAGGGTCCTGGCCCCCTGGTGCTGACCTGTGCGGCCATTATTCTCCAGTGTCCATGGGCCTGAGGGTGCAGAGTCATATCCCTGGAAGATGAAAGGCCCCAGGGTAGGGTCCCGCTGGACCAGGTGGAGGTTGATGTTGATGGGGGACTGAGATGGGCCCCCACAAGCAGGGGCCATCTCCTTCCAGCGGGTGGGGCCTGAGTGGACAGGGTTTGTAGACAGTAGGGTGTATGGGGAACAGACTGGGAGCGAACACAGAGGGAAGGTCACTCTCTCCTTCCTTTCCACCACATCCAGAAAATAGTCCAAACTCAGGACACACCCAGATCATCACATCTGGGCAGGTCGATGCTGCTATCACCCCCCAAGGGCTTGATCCATCAGGAAGTGCGGCACCATCCCAGAGCAATAGTGTGGACACAGTCACATGCGGGGAGATGGGGTCACCCCATGGACTGCCCCCCCCCACGTGGGCACGATCACTGTCATCCAGGAGCTCTGCATGTGGGCACCAGCGGTGTGGTGCATGCACAAGGTCCAGCGCAGAGACAAACATGCAGAGGGACAACCCAGCCAGCCAGCCGGACCCTGGACAACAGTGAACTGCAGTGTCTAGGAGCCAGCGGGCACATGGTCTCCAGACCCTCCAGCAACACTGTGCTCACCACACTTGGGGTCCTGGGAGTCGTAACACCAGGCGTCTGTGGGCAGTGTAGGGGAGAGAATTGAGATCAACCCCCCTAACCCCCCGCCTCTCCGGCCCCATCTCAGCATTTTGGTACAAGGTTAGGGGCGTGGGATGGACAGGGGGAGGGGGCAGCTGAGCTTCCCAGGTCGTGGCGCAGACAACCTCAGCATCAGTGGGAGAAAGAAATGAAGGCAAGGGGCGGGTAGTTTGGAGGCAGGTGGACAGGGTGCCAGTGCTCACCCTCCAGTTCCGCGCGCGTGCCCAGCTGGACCGCAAGGCAGACGAGGACTAAGCCCGAAAGTTGCATTGTGTTGGCGTACAGCACTGACCAAGAAGGACGGGGCGATGGAGACTGGTGGCGCATAGCAGCAGCGGCAGCGGCTCGGCAGGACTTGGCAGTGAACAAGAGCAGCGGCGCGAGCATCTTGGGTTAGAGGTGGGGTGCGCTAAGGGGCGTGGTGTCTTACGCACTGGCCCAGCCCCCAGAGGGTCGGTGCCAGCAGGATGGGGGTGGGGGGTGGGAAGGGAGAAGCCCAGGCGCCTGGTCCAGCAGTGCACTCCCGGACTTTTCCGGAGCTGAAATGCGCCACAGGGTCCTCTTGGTGATTCCTTTATCGTCCCCATTTATAGACGAAGCAGAGCGGACACCGGAGTGATCAGATCAGGCCAGTAACAAGGCGTTTCTCACGGGGTATCTGTGGTCCCCTCTCTGGATGGAAGAGCTGTCGGCCTGGCTCCACAACCCCATCAGGAACTTACCTTCTCCGTGAACCAACAGGCCCCGGAGATGCATTCGAAAGGGAGATTTGTTTTGGCCTACAGGCTGGATAGGGAGTCCTTTACTGTTCCCCACTGGGGTTCACAGGAGCCTCACTAGACGTGTTGGGCTGAGACTACTGCCATCAAGTGGGCAGTGACACAGCTGACCCTCTGGCGGTTTTTTTTTTAATTGAGGTTTTAATTAAAGTTTATAGGGAACTCCGGTTTCTAGTCATTCATTGTTGCACATTTCCTCCCTGGATCCCCAGTTCGCTTTTCTTTCGGGGGGGGGGGAAATTCTTTAATTGTTGTACAATTGCCCACCCCCACCCCAGGTTTTCAAGGCTGTAAATCACAGGGACTGGGTCACCAGGACAGTCCTGGATTTCCAGGGAATGGTGAACAAGGGGCAACAGAGAGGAGGGAGGCCAACCCCATGAAGCTTCAACTACTGCACCCCGTGCAAGCTTGGCATCACTGGGCCCAGCCTAGCAGCCAGTGCCTGACACTGGGTGAGGGTTGGACATCCTTCCTGGTCTGCAGGCCAATGACCTCAGGGAGTGTGCTGGTGCCCAGGAAAGCTGTGACCCCTGGGACAGTCATGGGGAGCAGGGGCGCCCAGCCATGCACCTCTGAGGTAGAAGTTCTGGGGACTGGCCACAGCACACTGACCAAAACTGTCAGAACACATTTATTTGGCATCTGGATGAAATGGTTCTCACATCATCTTAAGAAAAGGATTAGTGCCAAGCCAACCCAACCCAACCCAACCCAACCCAACCCAACCCAACCTAAAAACCCTTAGTGAGAGGAAACATACAAAACAGCATTGGGACAATGTACAGTATCAAATTCCAGGTGGGCACGGTGGGCTCAGCAGGGATGCATTGCATCAAGGACCGGCTGTGGGAGCCTGTGGACCATCGAGTAAAATTCTACCTTTCAACGTGCTGTCAATGGGGGAGGTGAAGGCGGGAGGCAGACTCCTTGCTCTACTTCCCCCAAGAATAAGAGTAGTTCTGAGTGCAGTGCTGGGTACCTGGTCTTTGGTGGGCAGAGGCAGGGCATAAGCACACCTCATCTCTGCCCTATTCAGCCTCCTGGCCATTTACTTCAAGGAAGCTTCCCAGCCCCATGGCTCTGTACAGCTCCCCCAAGGCTGATTGTGGACCTTCTGTGGGGGCTAGTTCAGGTCCCTGTAGAGCTGCTGACTGGTCTTCACATACTGGGGACCCTTGCCAGCAGCAGCAAACTGTGACAACCCCAGAATGTGGCCTTCTTCCCACAGCACACAGGATTCCTGTCTTTGGTGCCATTTCTCAAAGGCTGGATGGCCTGCAGGTGGTGGTGATGAGCCTGCCCAGCAGGGCTGCCTGCATCTAGGTCAGGGGCTGAACCTGGAGGGGCCAGCTCACATCTCCAGCCACTTGGGGATGAGCACTCAGGACTGGGCAGCACTTTGGAATCTTCCTCATTCCATGCTGGAGAGCGCAGGCTTAGCCCTGGACCAAGTCCACAGGGTTTGTCAGCCCACCCCCAGACGGCACACTTCAGGGAGGCTTCTTGGTCAGAGATGCTAAGGGAATGAGGGAGCAGGGTCCCGTCGCCCCTCAGTGCCAGCGCACTGGTAGGTATGATGCCTGCTGGGGGGTGGGTCCCACTGCCCACCACCACCTAGATGCACATACACGCACGCAGACACGTGCACACAAAGGGAAGGTCCAGACATTCTTATGTAAAAAAGATATCAATGTGCTAAAAAATCGCACGGAACCCGCTTCATCTCCAACCTCAAAAATGCAAGACCCCTTCCCCTCTCCCCTGACCACTACCAACTCCACCCAGGAAGCTTGGGGGCTTGTGTGAACAGGGGCCGGGTGCTTGGCCCCAGCTGTCTGGGGGAACACTCGGGAGGCAGAAACCTGGGGACGTGTGTGACCAGTGTCCAAGTGCTAGGTCCCAGCTGTCTGGGAGACTCTTGCGTGGCAGGAACCATCTAGGACATTTACTTCAGCTACCCTGCCCCCAAGCCACAACGCTTTATGGCACAAACAAGGTGAGTGGGAGAAGGTGAGGCACAGAGCTGGGTTGTCAACAGGAGGAAGGGGGTCACAGGCTTGACCCACAGAGGATCCAGGACCCCAATTCCTGAGCACAGCGCGAAGGCTCACAACTTCAAAGCCTCCTGGGGAGAGAAGGGGAAAGACACAGTGCTGGGGGTGCTGACACAGGATGGAGGGTGCACCTCCATCTCAGGGCATGGGGGCACTGGACCGTTACTTGTAGCTGGACCGATGGGGTCCTGAGCAGCTACTGCAGTGTCCCGAGACAACCTGTCCTCATGCGGGCCATTTCCGAGTACTGCCGATAGTATA